CTCCCCAAACAAACCCTCCACACACACATCTCCCCCCCTCCCCACACCCACCATCATGGACCTCACCACAAGCCCAAACAATACATTACCAACCAAACCAAAAATTCTCAGCCCTGCCCTTTTTCCACCAATAGCTTGCTTATCCTTGTCACACTACACTAGACACACCACAGTAAGATTCTAAACGATATACGAGATACACGCGAAGACGCGAGTCGCATGACATACCGTACATCAAGCACTCACTCTCACCTACCACCCCACCTGGGAACGCTGTAAGTAAAGTACTCTAAACCTGTAGAGTGAACCCCTCCTCTGCCTGCCCATGAATCACGGCCCCCAGCGCTTAAGGAAACCATAGAAACAACGTGGAAGACGAAGTGGAGTAGGGTGACGAATACAAGTCCTGTTGCAGAAACACACACACAAAGGGGAGGGGAGGGATGAACATGCAGCATGAACAGGTAACAGTACCTCACCTCTGCGAAACAGCCTGCCTGCCTGCCACTCCATAGGATAGGATAGCTGCAGGAAAAGGGTGAAATGAAGTACAGTACTTTGTTTGTGACTGATGGTACAGATACATACCGATACCTCAAAAGGGTACAGTACAGTACTTAATGATACACCCATCTCATATCCATCCTCTATCCCCAGTCTCATCTCTGACAATCCCAGCTGGTTGATCCCATCCCATCCCAAGAGTCGCCAGCCACCCAGCCTTGTCATGCACCGGGTTGTAGAAAGGGGAGGGACAGTGGTGGGGGCATGGATGTGAAATGGGCACAGCACAGTACAGTAGGGAAGCAGTGGAGGCTCAGCCATTCGCCTATACTGTATCCCTTCCAGGGGAAACGATACTCAGGTTCCACAAAACCACCCTACACCATCCTTTTCACCCCCCTCGATACCTACACCGTGACCCCTTCACGGCAGTGCCGGCATCCAGGACCCGGAACTCTATTCTTACATCGCAACCCTCCAACGCCAAACCCAAGAAATGAGAATCGACAGAAATCCGAGCTAGCAGAGCAAAGAAACAGAAGAGAGAGAGACAGAGAGAGCAAAGCCACCCTCCCCTAAATCTCAAAGATCTCCCCGAATCCTTCCCCACCGCCCCTCCGGTTCTCCACTAGATCCAATCGCCAACCCTCCCAATTCTTCAGTCCTCTCTTAACCTCCTTAACCCTCTCAATCCTCGCCTTGGCTTCTTCTTCCTGCGCCAGTCTGAATGCATCCTCATCAAAGTCCATGTCTTCATCATCTTCTAACAGGGAGTCATCGGCTCCTGAAGCCGCCCCCGTGATGGCATTAAACCCACTTGTGATGAAATCTCCCAAGCCCTTCCCGCCGCCCTGTGCGAGGCTCTTCCTACGGCTGCTAGGTGACATGCCTCCAAGATCTATATCGGTAAACTTGGCGGAGGGACTGGTTGAACCTATAGTATCGTCGCCTTCCAATTCTTTTCGACGTTCTCTCCACACTCCCCGCCGCAGTTCATGCACTTCCCCTTCCAAATTACGTACCTTCTTCTCCAGACGTTGGCGTTCCTCATTCTCTAATTCGTCGACCCCTTCGTCATCGATACCTTGCGCATCGCGCTTGCGTGCTCGTTCTCTCTCATCTTTTAAACGCTGATTCTCATTCTCAAGACCAGCAAGTCGTGATCTGAGTTCTGAGGCGTCCTTCTCTGCCTTTTCCCGCTCCTTCTTTTGCGCCTGAAATCTAGCATCATGCTCTTTGTGCAAGGTCCCCAGAGTGGAAACTTTCTTCTCGAGCGCTTCCACTTTCTTCTGAAGTTCTTCGCTGTGAGCCTTAGCTTCGTCAGATTCCCGCTCCAAAGTCCTTAATTTAGTCTCAGCCGAAGTTCTTTCACTCCCCTCCTTGACGGCCTTTTCCGTCGTTCGTTCCAGATTCTTCTTCAAGTCCCCCAATTCCCGTTGCGCTATAAGCGTGGCTTTCTCGCTTCGTGCAAGCTTCTCTTCCAAGGCTGAAACTTGCTCCTTAACTGACGCCCCCGAATTCACTTTCTCGAGATGGGCTCGAAGGTTGGAGATTTCTATTTCCATCCCCTCGATGGTGGAGGATTTTGACGCCAGAGCCGCTTCGTAATCAGGGGGTGCATTAGCCGACACTGATGGAGAAGATCCATGACGAGTCGCCTTGGAAGATTGGGCTTGCAGTTGAGTGTTATGACGCTGTAGGGCTGCATTCTCTGTTCTCTGGGTAATTGTCAGACTCTATTCTTAGAAGGGCCAATGGGAGTATGACGACTTACGAGTTTCTCCAGTTCTTCTAATGATCCTGCAGAGGGAGCAGGAGCCCCCGTTTTGGTCTCGGTGTCATCTTCAGCCTCGCGCAATTCTTCGAGTTCCTCTTCGGCCTTCTTCCATCTTTTCTCTGAATCGCCTGCCTCTTTAGCTAACCGCTTATTCTCCCTCTCCAGTTCATCAATCCTGAGCTGCTGTTTTCTATGAATATCTGGAGCCGTTTCCCCGTCTGGTGAGAAAACATAACCTGGTGACATTTGCCCCGCTCCTGCGCCTTGTCTAAATGAAGAAGATCGTAGTTTGGATTGCAAAGACAATGAAGGCTGTCTTCCATGAGATTTAGCAACATTGAGCTCTGCAGGAGCTTCCTCGGCCTCGGCATCCTCGTTGGCTTGGTCGACCGGCTTTGCTTCTTCTTCATTAACAGGTTCTGGCACTGGTGGTGGTTCTGGACTTGGGTCTTCTTCGACTTTGGAGGTTTCGGCGACGGGAGAGGGTTCAGGTTTGTCTTCTTTCTTTGCGCCCGTCTTCTTCTTCTTTTTCATCGCGTCAACCTGCACCCATTCGCGTTAGTTCTATAATCCAGACAAATCCCTAGAAGGACCAGCTGTGGAGTTAGAGGTACGTACCCTTTTCTTAGCTGCGGCGATCTTCTCCGCCTTCGCAATTGCCTCAGCGTCTGCCATGATTGCGTGATATTCGTTATGTTATAGTGTTGTGTGTTGGTTTGTGTAGTTGCGATCCTCACCTCCCAAAGTGGCCCGTCAGTGAAAGCTGCCGTCAACTTGCCAGCTATCGTCAAACCACAGTGAATGATCGTCCTCGACCCCGGTCCCAGCCCATTTTTAGGGCTCGTGCGGGCGCCTTGTAAAGCCCGAGCTCCCGGCTCTTTGTGGGTTTTACAGCGGGATACAGCGGGTTACGGCGGGTTACCTACAGGCTGTGCTTGAGTAGCTGCTCCCAATACAGTACGAGTAACAACACCAGGAGAGAGAAGAGAAAAAAAAGAACTCCAGGTCCAGATAGCTCCCTACATTCCTATCAAATCCTACACACACCATTGGGTTCCAGCGCCTTGGCTGCCAACCTCTCCCATCATGGCGACGACCATTCCGACCTCCTCGCAATCCGCCAACCTAGCCTACCATCTCTCAGACATCACCCTCTCCCCCATCCTCTCCTCGAACCAATCCTCCCCACGGGCTCTGCAATCACTCACCACCACCGCCCTCACAGCATCCGATCTTGCGTCCCGACTCGGCCTCGGAACCCCCCAGAGAATCATGATCGAAACGAAGGGACCATTAATCCTGCACTCCTTTCTAAATCCCCAATCGCAGACCCCACCACCGAGAACACCACAGGCAATTATCGAGCAGGCGCGAGACGAATTACGGCCATTGAGTGGAAATACCGAGACGACGGAAACGGATAGCCCAATACACAGAGAAAATCAACTGACGGGTAGCGCACCACTAACCAATGGCACATCAACCATCGCGAATCCTACCGAGTCAACCGAGGAGAGTGGTCCGGCGCAACCCCCATTGTTGGTCGCAACCGTCATTGCACCTTCGATCGCGGACGCGAGAGAAGCTAGGAGATTAGCAGGCAGAATAGAGAGGATTGGGAAGGATTTTCAGCGGGAATGGGTTGTGGAGCAGACACAGACTGAGGAGAGAGAGAGCGATGGAGGCTCGGAAGGGGAGGATGGTTGAGACTTTCAAATCGCCTTGGATGAACCGCAAAGAGGATCTTGAAAATAAACCATATTTGGGCCATGGGAGTATGGTTTTTGCACGAAGGGAAAAAAAAAGGAAGGCCGAGACAAGGAGGATAACCTGTGGTTGTCTTTAGAGTCCAGGTCACATGTGAGGTCTAATGTATTGTAGGATAAAGTAGTTGGTCATCAGCCTACCAGGGCAGGATCTTGGAGGTGCAAAAAAGGGGTGGAGATAGGTACCGGATATGCTTCATACAGTAAGCCAATATCTGAGGGGAATACTTTAGTTCTACAGTAAGGATAAAGAACTCAAAATACAAAAAACCACATCAATTCAATCCAGATACAAGTCTGATATATTCACTTCCCTCCCACTTCCCCTTCCATACACCTAACTTTCAAACCCACCTCAACCCCAAAAATCAATTCATTAAAATTACAAAAAAGTATCTGCTCAATACCAGGCTCGAACTGGTGATTCCCCAAGGTCCGACGACACCCTCCCGTTATATGACCACTTCATGGGAGTCCCTAAGCGTCTGCCTATCAAGGCTACGTCAAAGGGGCGCAAACATGGTTACTACGGTGCCATGCTAAGGTTGGAGTGTTTTACCACTAGACTAATTGAGGTTGTCTGACCCGTGGAGTGGATGATTGGTTTTGATTTGATTGTGGAATTGGTTATTTGTGGTTATATCTCGGGCGGTGTTTGGAGGGTTGTGAATGTGTTTGTGGGCTTGGGTAGAGGGTGAATTTTGGGAAGGGGAAGGGGGGGAAGGTGGGTTAATAGGTTTGTGGGGGATGTGGTGGTAGTTGGTTTGTCTCTTTGTGGATCATATGGTCTGGTTACGTGGATATTGGAATTTGTACGAAGTGGTAGGGAATACTCGTAGGGATCCTAAAAGGAGCCGTAGATTAGAATTAGTCTCTTTGTATAAGACAGCGAATATTGTTCTATTGGTTCTTATCCCCCTTCTATTCTCCTAGATATTTTTGAATTTGTAGAATTTACACTTCCCTCCGTAAAGAATACTGTAACTTATTTTCAAAATTTAGCACCTGTTAAGTAGTTCTTACACCTACAATCCTTCCATGAAGACTTTCTATCAAAAACAAGCACAATAGAAAGACGCTTAGTCGATTCATGGAGTTACCTCAAGCCTTTACTCACTTATACACAAACACACGTCCTTCATGCTACCAAGTAAACTCTATCCCTCAATTATTTGTACGAATGTATATACCTATCTACCTTGGTATCAATATTGAGACTTTGAGGCAAGCGGCTGTAAACATCACTGGGTTGTAGTGCCAGATCGCTAAGAACGGAAGAGCGTGGGAATGATAGGATAGCCCTGTAACATAGAAAAACTTAGAAGGATCAGGTCTTGTTTTCGCTCCCTGGTAGCGCCTTGGAAGTATTTGGAGTTTTATTACTAACTTAGGGGCTTTTTGGAAATTCTTGTTGTAGATTGGTGTAGGAGATTAAGGAGAAGAGTGAATGGTCATTGCTGTACGGTGTGCGGTGTCCGAAGCGAGGATTTGGGTGGATTATATAGGATTTCTAGGAAGTAAGGAGTCTTGGATTTTGAGTGACTGGATCTAGGTGATGAATGTCTTTATCCTTCGTTTTGAAAATCGATAACCACCTAGGAAATAGTTGTTTGATATTAAAATCTAGCTGTTGACTCTTCTATGCCTACAACACTATCGAAATCAGAATAGCTTCGAAATTCCTACTTCAATGAATTTGAGATTTCTCTTAGCGGACGAAAGATGAAATACCATGCTTTCTTTTCTGGGGAAGTTGAAAGGGATTTGGGTGCTACTGTAGCTGAAGTGATTGGGGGGTGGGTTATATGAGTCCCAGGGGGGAGAGTGAAGTAGAAATATGATTTCTTTGCCCTATATATGGATACCGAGATGAAATTAATGGTAGATTGGGATTGTGGACAGGATTTGTTTCTTTGGGGTTATGTTTGCGGGGTGGTATTTATGCTGACGGTGAATTCTAGAGGGGGCTTCTGAAATTTTGGTAAGGAAGGGTTAGTGGGAAGTGATGGTTGGTATTGTACTATTTGTTTTGTCTACTTAGTATATAAGTGGACTTATAATACATTTTGTAGTTAAATGTAGCTCGTGAGCACTTATTGTTTCCGTCTTTCTATTCTAGATTGAGAATTTTATTGTTCTCGGTATATATTGTTGGTATTTGAGAAATAGCTTTCTTCAAAGGTGTAGTCTGAGGAAAGTGAAATACATACTATAAACCCTTTTAAAGCCTATTTTGTAACCATTTTAGGTTATTTTAGATGTTTACTGCTATTGATTGTTACGCTTTTAAAAGGGTTACCGGATTGATTCATGGATCCAAATTAAGCTGGATTACTCTGAAGGGCGTAGTCGTAAGTTTTGTGATACATCACTTATTGTCTCATAAGATTGATTCTCGTTTAATTCAAGAGAGTCGAATGAGGTCTTGGGATGTGGTTTTGTGTTTACCACAACCATCGAATTGTCTATGATCTAGCCTGTGAGACAATAGGCTTTGTCCAAGTTTTGAATAAACCACAAGCTCGTCATTTTGCTAAGAGAAATTCGTAGATTAATATGTATCGTTAGACGAGGAGCTTGATCGCGACAAATGTTACTGCGGTAGGCTTTCCATAAGTGACGGTTCCAATGTAGTATTTAGCCTAAGTCTAATATCCATACATCATAAAGTTATGGACCAGTGGACCACTGAGTGTCTTATTATTTTTTGAGGGATTCTCGTCATGTCACCACTATCCCGGGGTTAATTGTGTTATTCTAGGCCATTGATACTGTAGTACTCTATCGGTAAGAAAGCTGGAGTGGACAGAATCAACAAAAACAACCCTGAAAAAGTGTAAAGTAAATCTCGCTTACTATACTTGTATTAATCTAATATTGCATTACACATATGAATAGTCACTACAGAAAATGGCAGAAAACTCATAAGAATCTTCGTATACTCATGGAAAGGGTGTGCAGTATACCTAAGGTAAATGTATAATATCCGAATTAGACCTTTAATAGGAGCATTGGATGTGTGATACCAAAGCTTGGTTCTCACCTCTCATATGCATGTGAAAAAACGATAACGTCTGACCACTGAAATTGATTAAATGCCATCCTTGCCTTCCCCAAATCAAGTTATTCCTACTCATAATTAAAGGGTGGAGATTTGACATATGCGGGGTTTTATCGAAAAAGGTCGGCTACATGCACGTGATCTAACCGAACTAGGAAAGCGAGACCCCTGATAAGAGTGCATTTGCAGATGCACGGCTCCATTTCACATTCCTCATTCCAGATATTTCAAAATGGGATCAAAACACCAAATCTACGCGTCCGTTCACGATATCTCTCCTGCAATGCCTTCCTCTCATAGTCATGGCGCCACCTACGCAATCACATATTATTCACCGTGATATAGCCATGTGGGGACAAAGCTTGTCCGTACCGACGCTTATGCTCTTCTTTGGGAAGTAACCCCGTAGGATCTGCAAATCGTTTATCTGTCAACCATGGCAGTACTTTGATATTGACCGTGCTCAAGAGAATTTTATTTTCTTCCGGGAAAATACCGTCATCATGACTTGGTCACGTTGCGATTATATTGCGAGTAGAGCGGAGTACTTGAGAGTCCCTTTTCCTTTCAGTTGAGCTGGGAGTGTGGCATCTGTAAAAGTTTTGCTCGGATTTTTGTTGGTAGTAGAAATCTCATCTACAATAATGTCGATTCTTCTTGTTTTGGGGGCTTTGCTGGCCTGTGCGAGAGCCGTCCCGGTGCCAAATCCGGAGTCTGGGGTATTGCCGAGAGGTAAAAAGAAGCTTGTTGTTTCTTGAATAAGTGGTACCATTACTAACTATCCCATAGCGATTACTGTTACAGATGCCGTCTTGGATAACTTCAAGCTTTTCGCTAACTATACTGCGGCGTCATATTGTCCCAACAATCAAAACTCGAGCGCCGATACGCTCATCACATGTATCTCCACAGCTTGCACTTTGGTCGAAGAAAATAAAGCAGTGAGCCTAGTGGAATTTGGGTATGGCCTCTGAGGTATCTCAACAAGCAAGACACTGACAAATCATAGGGCAGATAATACTGCTGCAAATATCAAAGGATTTGTTGCTCTCGACCACGCAAAATCCCTCGTGGTTGTGGCATTTTCCGGATCAGGAGCAAGCATTCGGAATTGGTTGACAGACTTTAACATCATTCAAACCCCTTTCAAAATCGCCAATTGTAACGACTGCTATACTCACTCCGGATTTGGTTCTGGATGGGCGCAACGGAGGACCATTGTTATCAATGCTGTGAAATCGGCACTTGCAGCTAATCCAACCTACTCGCTCATCATTACCGGTCATTCTATCGGTGGTGGGGTTGCAAGTCTGGCAGGCGCAGAGCTTCGAACTCTGGGATATCCAGCCGATATCTATATATACGGCTCTCCTCGAGCTGGAAATGCAGCATTTGCGAAATTTGTAACTGCCCAAGAGCCATCTCTGGGGTCGAATTATCGAGTCACGCATATCAATGATCCAGTACCGCAAATCATTCCGGACTGGATTGGGTACGAGCATGTGAGCCCAGAATACTGGCTCTCGACGGGAAATGCAACGACACAAACTTATACGCCGAGCGATATAGTCGTTTGCGAGGGTGTGGGTAATGATGGGTGTAATACGGCGACGGGGATAATCCCACTGAATACTGAGGCTCATAATCATTATCTTGGAAGTGTCGCCGCATGTCAGGGGGGCTTGGAGCTTTAGTGCAGGAGATAATAAGGGATTTTGATGAATTTTATGATAATGAAACTAATAAATAATTTTGTCAGTATTTGAGTTGTTCATAGTGGTACTTTCTTTCCAAACACTGGTCTCCTTGCCCCCTTCGGCACCGAATTCGAAGAAGACGGCTCAAAAACAGGAATTTCCCTTTTCTCGACTCTCATCCTGACCTTCAAATCCTCCGATCTCCTTCGCCTAGAAGCAAGTGTCTCGTTCTTGTGATGAAGGCTCCCAGCAACGCAGTTTCCGTCTCCCCAAGCTGCCCTAGCAGCTGCTTTCCAGATAGCCTTGGGGTCCCGAATCATGTCTGGCGTGTAGTACAACCTACAGTCCGCTTCCTCATATAGAAACTGCGCAGGCGTTCCATCCTCCAAATTGTCCCTCAAGATCATATCTCGGACATTGATAGAGCTGTCGGTGCTTCGGTTCATTGGAAGGTTACTCAGTTCAGTGACGCTCTTCCAGGCCATCCTCTGCTCTTGACTTGCGCTTTGAAGAGCGATGTTGGCCAAAGACAGGATGTAGGAGAAGGGGTAGTTGTTGGAACCTTTGGTGCCGCCTATTGCTTGAATGGGAAATTTATTCGGTCGTCCGCCCATGGCGATAGATTTAACCCCTCCTTGGGTTCTCATCATCTCGCTAAAGATGGAGCATGTCGAAGCGCAGTATCCATCGTATACCATAACGATATCTTCAGCAGCAAAGGGTTGCTTGAAGTTTTGACGACTTCCATAGCCACTAATAGACATTCCCAACCCCCACTGTGTACTCGTTGTCAACAGCGGATCTGTCAAGTTCCATCGTAGCAAACTTGTGAACTCGTCTCCTTGAAACATATGAGGTGAAAATTTGTCATCATAAGTGAGAAAATTTTGGTTCGTCTGGTTCAATTCAAATCGATAATCCAGAACCGACTGAGAAGCAACGATTTGACTAGTACTCGCAGTCTCCAACGACATTCCCGCCGTAAAATTCGATATCTGCTTACTCATAATGTTGAAGGCATCATGTTCCCGAAACCGCGAGAATCCGTCCTGCACAATAGATGGAAAGAACTGCCGGAAAGCATCATACCCATTCAGAATAATGCCTCCCCCATTCCCCGAAAGATCAATCACCACTTTCGTTTTTCCCGCGGCTCTAGCATCTGAGATGAACTTCTCAATCACAGATTGGAATTCCGCAGGAAAATAAGGCTCAAACGACAGGATACTCAGAACCGCCACATCGGCAAACGCTGGGTCATCATCCAAGAAATATCCCGAGATTTGTTTGTCAGAACTGATTCCTTTGGGAACTGGGTATCCATGTGCATACCCAGTATCTCGCCCGATCACGAAATCCTCGTCGTCTGCTGGATCATATGCTTTGGGTCCTGTACAAAACTTATCGTATGCTGATGGTCCATCCACCACTCCTTTCCAGTTCCCGTGAATCTCGGCGTAGTTCTCGTATGTTTTTTCTGTTCCATTTGCGAACTCGATGATTGTTTCAGGTCCGACGTAAATCATCCCTCCTCTCCCGGAGCCCGCGAAATATCCCGAGTAGCGTAGCTTATCGTATTGGGCATCCATTGCTAGCTCGTAGAACATGGTGTTATAGAGAGCATCAGGGTCTTGTAAGAATCCTAATTGAGAGAAGTTTTCCAGGTACTGGACGGCGTTGTCCCCGCTTATTTTTGTGATTGGCGAGATAGAGGTTGTTGCATTCTTAAGAAGACTCGCTATATCATCTTTCAGGTCAAATTAGTCCAATTCGCCAGACAAGCTGAAGAACTATCCATGTTGCCTACTGAATTGGAGAGGTAAAGATTGGATATGAAACTTGCCTTTGACATAAATGCGCGGAAGCTCACCTCCATCTCGACTCACAGAAATCAATTGAACTCGTCTGCGAAACTGGATTTTACTCATCAAATCTGGCGCAAACCTGAAATGACCATCATGCGCACGATTGAACGTCGAAAAGAGCTTCACCTGAAATTCATATTCATTTGCGAAATCGCCGTCCTTGATCCCATGTAGAATATCGTTGAAGCTCTGCCAAAGATCGATAGCTGGCATTTTATAACTAGCTGGCGGATCTTTCAGGTAAGCAATATCTGTCGAGTCTTAGCTTTGGAATAAGAAGAGACGAGGAGTTTTACCGGACTGCCATTCTATGTATGGTAGAATTGCATTAACTAAATCCGTTGCTGCTTGGGGATTCAAGGGGACAGAGTTGAGACAGTCGTAAGCGGTTTTCGCAGGGACTGTTGGTATTCCTATCCCTTGAATTAGTATGCAGGTAAATTTTATTGGACATAGAATTACCAGATGCTGAAAGAGACGATCTCTTGCTTATGACTGCACAGGGACTATCGCCATTTTCTGTACTCGAAGCTGTCGTTGCGCTAACAACACCTAATAAGAACACAGATGTAAGTATTGTAAATCTCATGTTGATACCGACAAGACGTTTGAGTGGGCCAGATAAGAGAAATTGAAGAAAAATGTGCAAGAAAATTGAACTGTTGACATACATATGCTTACATACTGCGGTAGCGACTCTCGGATCACACACTGCATCTTTGAGATTCGACATGGGAGTTTCAGGTACGAGCTTCGCCAACAATGGTATTTAATATGTAAACTCGCGCCTGCCTGGCGGCTCTCAATGAGCATGCTCGTATGTATGTAGGCGATGCAGGTCAGGTGTGTTGGTGTGGGGAGCTCGGAGTGAGGCTAAATAGAAACCTGCTCTGTATGGATGATCGGCAGCCAGCATCGTGCAGCGTGCTGAGCTAGAAAATTGGAGGATATCATGAAATAGATGAAGTGAGGTAATATGTATTGTATACGTTTGTAGAAGCCTAATGTGCGAACGTTTGTATTTGATAATCGAACAGGTGACATGCAGACGGGACGAGGCCTTCTGAATGGGTTCTGGGTCCTCGAGTGTTATTTTTGGAAAGCCTGTAGCCGAGCGTAGGCATTTGGAGCGACAGATAGCTGTATTTCAATTGACGTGTGTATTAACAAACTGTATATCGAGTAGAGAGGGCGTATACTGAATTCCGATTGGGAATGGCTTCAGAAGCCTAGATAAGATACATGTGATTGCGAATCCAGTCCTCCGCAATTTGAGCTTTTTGAGCTGGGGTTGTGGCACGAAGAGAAAAATAACTATATATTGGGATAATTGAAATACATACCAATCCAGTACCCCCAGCCACTCGGAACCCCAACTAGAACAATACCTAGAGACACAAATCCATTGGGAAATCGACCACATTTGCTCTTGCAAGGTGTACATAACAGTCGGCTCGAATGTGTCGAAATGATAAATTTGTCAAAAACACCCAAAGACTTGTTTGGTTATCAGAGTTAGAAGGCCACATGATGCCAGATTATGCTAACCCCATTCAGAAATCTAACAGAATAGAGCGCTTGGAATTCGGGGAGGCTGGGACCTAGTTACTATAGAGAAACTATGACGAGAGCAGAGTTGATTTTCAATACCTACCTCCATAAAGAGAATTTGAAGCCATTACCAAATCAAGTTGCCTGACAATAGGCAGGTAAAGTTGCAGTAAAAACCTGCCATTATTCTACAGTTCTAGGCCAATCTCAGTGTTTAGACTAGATCTTCGGGTGGACTGCATCGTTTGATATCGAATACTGAGGATTATTCTACTTCTAGAAAAATGAGGCCTTCCACTGCTACGTCTCTTGTGTACCGCGAGTTTGCGGCTTGCCAGAACTGCTGAGGCAGTTCTGTGGAAAGAGTGAACGGCATTAGATTAAGCACAACGATTAAGTAGGGTTTGAGGCTAGGTGTCTTCCAGCATTTTGCAATGAACGATACACAAATTTGGCAGCAGATGTTCGAGAATGATGCTTCATGAAAAGGAGATTAGGTTTGCGGTTGAAGTGGGGAAACATTAAATTGAAAAACGTGATGCTGGACCGGGAGTGGTCAGGTGACCGGATTCACTAGCGCCGGTTTTGATCACGCGAAATGTAAACAATGGTCGTCGCTCTTCTCCGGGATCATTAAATCTGACTATTCCATATACCTCGCAGCAGCAACTCGATACCCGACCGCAACGCACTACATATCTCGAGTATCCGATTCTCCACATCTGCCGATCGACGCGAAACTGATTGCGATAACTACGTGACAGCTCCCGAGTCCGCAAAGCCAACTTCACTCCCGAAATACCCCCCCTACGCTAGTCGATGCGCGGCCACATACCTTAATCAATGACTACCCTCGTACGAACGCGAATACCTTTAGAGACGTTGAGCATGAGTCAATCTAATGGAAGAAGGAGGAGCAAGCGGCTTGCCAGTGAGTGATCTGGGCTGCCTCAATGGCGATGTCGATGGCGCGCAATACTGATTGAGACGGCAGCATACGACGAGGCAGACGACGACTTTGTATTTACACGCGGATCTAAACGAACAAAAACAGAACCAGCAGCCCCAGAACCCGCCCCCGCCCCGGCACCAGTACCAGTAACGATAGTGAAGAGGGGTAGGAAACCAAAAGAACGCGACGAGGAGGCGCCACCAGAGAAGAGACCCCGAGGACGGCCAGCGAATTTTTCGACACCTACAGCGGATGTTGATTCTAGTAATGTACCGAAGAGGAGAAAAGCTACGCGCACATCAACGGGAAAAGCACAGAATGGCGAATCCAATGGCAATGAGATAGTGCTGGAAACAACAGAGCTCGATAGCATGGACTTGGTTGGATCCACAGACGCAAATGAGTCGCACAGTAAAAATTTGGATAGCACAATTCAGCCTACTATAATCACCTTGCCTTTTAGCGACACTCCAGTCATTGACCGAAATAAGGAAATGAGGAAGAAAGGGACGGGGACGCGCAGGAGTAGCTTAGGACTTCGTGGAAGACGAGCAAGCTCTTTAATTGAGAATGGCCATAGCGCAATCCCACACCGTCAAGTGGAGACGTCCGAATTTTATAAGCATATCGAGGCAGATGGATTGAGTGAACCAAGGAGGATGAAACAATTGTTGACCTGGGTTGGTGAAAGGGAGTTGGGCGAGAAACCGTCGCATGGTGAAGCGAATGATTTATGCGAACAAATGGGTGAGTAGAATTTGCTGTGTAACTGCTATCTTGCTAATGTATTGGTAGCGCGGACAATTAAGGAAGGCCTTCTTAGAGATTTTTCGAATAGGTCGGACTATTCAGACTGGTTCACTAGGGAAGATACAGCACCCAGAAAGGTCATCAAGAAACCTAATCCGCGGAATATTGAGCTAGAAGAGCAAATAGCAGAATCAGACGCCAGAATCAAGTTGTAAGTTATCTGGGCCTACTCGCATTCCCATGAAGTTTTATACTTACATGGTTCTAGACTGAAACAGGAACGCGATCAGTGGAAAGCACTGGCAAAATCCCCACTACCCCTGCCCCCTATACTACCTGAGAATTCTTCTGAAATAAAATTTTCTGACATCGATGCGTCACTCCTGTCTCCAGAACAATCGAATATTTTGGCAAGTGTATCATCAATGTCAGCTCTTAGCCTCCGAGAAAAGGTGGCCACACAAGTCCAGGATTTGATATCTGGGCTGGAATTCAAGGTGGATCGGTTCGCAGATGGTGTCCACAAGCTCGAGCAGTACGAACAAACAGCCGGAAGAGTCGCTGATAAAATCCTTGCAATATCCGCTGTCAGGTTGGAAGAACGAGATCGACGAGAGAAGGAAGAAGTCGGGACACGAGACGTACCGATGCAAGAAGTCTTGAGGAGTTTGAGTCGGATTTTACCTCAGAACAACAATCGATGATCATCGAGTCCAGTCTTTGCAATTTTGTTAAGTGAACTAGTTAATCAGGGTGTTTTTTATACCCAAGGGAGCAAGGAAGATAGAAATGCAATTTCGGAGCTGGGGGGTTATTGAATTGATGAGGCGTGAATGACCTTTTTCTACATGGTACCTTTTTTTCTGGGAGCATTGGTGTTTGGGTGGATACCGTATCTGATGTTTTGATCTTGATTGTACAAATCAAAGGTTTTCGTTTGGAGTGATGCTTGACGGTGGTATACCAGGACATCTTAAACCTGGACGAGGTGTTTGGAGGGGTGGCTGTACTTGACTAGCTAGTCTCAGTATTCCTAGAGTACAGCAAATAAACACAGGTGACACATTGTAAGGCCCCCAGCTGCTTTGGCCAATTTTTATTCTCTGGTCCTCTCTTCTTCACTATTGATTTCTCATATTAGCATGCACTAAGGGTACAAGAATTGTGACTGTTCAAGAGTAAACCTCTAATCCCCCGAACCCCCAGTTCCCAGGCTTTGACAAGTGGGACTTCCAAATTTGTATAGGGGCGTTTTGAAAATGCAGCTACGACTTCCTGCATTCGTGGCCCTGGCACTCAGAGCCACCTCAAAATCAGCTGATATTGTCCCTTCAATATAGGTGCGCATTGATTGTGGCCCAGTCAGGGAATTCAATTTTTCACTCTCCTGGAAACACAGCTTACTCTGAAACCAATTGTGAGAACAGACAATTACTTTTTTTTATCAAAAGATGGCGTCGCTGTAAACTAACTAATGACTATGTAGCCACGATAGATACTGTGCTAGAAGTTCTGGAATGATCATTGATCAAAGGTGTTTTGTTGTATGTGAAAGTTGAACTAATTGTTTCTGGGGTATTTCTTTCTCTCTCTTCCTCCGATCCACGAATGGTACCAATACGCTTGCTAATTCTATGATTTTATACAGTTTTTGAGCTCGAGCTGATCGCAGACTCGTGTTAAATAATAGACAAAGGAAATCTTCGAATCATGAGAGAATCGGGTAAAGAAATACATGGCAACCACAAACTGTACTGTACACTTCATTCATCGCCACCAGCCCCCTCGTTCTTTCTTCGCAACAGAAACTGCATCTTCAACAGGTACTCGATGCCAGGCTATAGCAAGATTGCCCCTCGCATTATAGATGGGTTGGAAATCCTTGGGTTGAGTGTTGTATGCTTCGTCTGTAGCCTTGACAGCTAGAATCATCTTTTCCTTCTCGGTGGAGGTTGATTGCGTGGAACCTCCTTTAGGGGTATCAATATTATACTGCCACTGTTTCCAGGCCCAATATTTGCTCCCCATATTCGCCTCAGGAAGCTCTAACGTAGCTTGATTCCAACTTTTCCCATCATCTGTACTAACATCCACCCTAACAATCTCTCTCCCACCACCCGAGTACGCCCATCCTTTCACCAAAAAGCCCCCTTCTTTTCGAGGAGTAATGGATGTAACAGCACTGTTGACAGGCATTTCCTGGATCGACTTTGCGGTCTCCCAATTTTCAGATCCAACCTCGTTGGGACCGAAGCATTTATAGTCTCGTCGCTGCCATTGGGAGGTACTTTCCTCATCGCTAATCACGATGCTTTTCAACCACTTCACACTTCTAGCTGCGACATGGCCCGGGACGATAACGCGAAGGGGATATCCGTGATCTTTTGGAATGGGCTGGTGGTTCATGGAATGAGCTATAATGACGTCGCCATTTGGTGATATGGCTTTTTGGACTGGAATTGAGGCCCCGTACGCTTCGTGACCGAGAAATTGTATGTGTTTTGCATCTGGCGGTGGGGAGGAAACGGGGAAACCTGCGTGAGAGAGGATGTCGCGAAGATATGGACCGGTCCAGGTTGCTGTTCCTATGGCGCCTACTTGCCATTGGAGACCGGAGGTGTTTCCACAAGAGGATGTCATGTGAGCGCGACGATTTCCTGAACATTGGAGAGTTGAAGTTATTGTATGTTGTTCAAATTTCTCTTTCAAGTCTTTGAGGGTATAGGTCACTTCTTCGCCGTCCGGCAATTCGATTGTGAGATGGGTGTTCGGAGGTAGTGATGGCACCCACATGTGGTTCCGGACGTAGAATACGTTGTTTGGTGTTATGAATGTTGCCAGTGCTTCACCGGGGGTTTCTGCGTTGCATGGCCTGGAAGTGTGTTGGTGGAGTTTGGGGTCTCGTTTAGGATCGTGTTCAAAGGGATCTTCAATGTTGTCTGAGGGGACAGCACCATCTTTCAGATCTTGGGGGTCGACAGCCCCTATTAGATAAATTTCGAGAATGTCGTAGACTTCTTGCTTTTGATGGATACCGAAGATTTTCCACTGAAACGGTCAGTATTTCGTACTCTTCCTTCAACAGGCAAATTACTCATTGGATGTCTTCAAAGTCACGTAATTCGCTTCCATTCCATGAGACATCTCGCTTAAGAAATCTTTTGAGTTTGGTACATGAACTTTTGTCCAAACCTAGCTCCCACATCTATCAACTGCAACCAATTTTGTTCACTTGAACTAGCCTCCCAAGGGATGATCTCAGACAAATTTCATACAAGCCATCTAAATTAATCTGATTTGAAAAAAGGAGAAAAAATACTCACATAAGGATCAACGCTTCCACCTGCAGCCCTCAAAATAACCTCACCCCCAGGATGCCCCTGTATCCAATCCGTAATGTCGTAAACCTTCACCCCTCTGATGACCCAAGGTCTTTCTGAAGTAGGGCCATGTTTTTTTACTTCGCTCAGCCTGATTTTCCTCTCTAATACATCAAGTTTATCTGGTGACTCAGCTTCCAGATTCTGTAAAGACGAAAGAAAAAATAACACTGGAACGAATCCTAGGAGTAGCCGGGCATATTGGGTCAAAAGATTCGGTCTGATAGGGATATCTTGCCGAGTGTGGAAAGATCTCGATTGAAATTTTGGCCGTTTTATAACCCGTATATCCGATTTGACACCAGAAAATTTCGTCGAGAATGTCGGGACGGTTGTAGTTGTCCACCTTCCCAATCCCAACAACCTGGATGCAGCGACTCCACTTCGGATGCGCGTGGCTTGCATGGTGGGGTTGTCGCGTCGCAACAATAAACCATAGAAATACGATATATCGATTTTTCTAGGTCAATTATATATCGTCATGAGAGGTAGAGAAGAGTCGATGTAGTTGGCTACAATATGTTGTACAAACTGACCGCTTCTGCAGAAGTAATCATAGGTTTTTAAAAAAAGGTTCCAGCTTCACCCTGGCCCTTTCCGACCTCGCCCCGCAACCAAGCTGATAGCAAACAAAACCCAGCCAATCACAATGCAGCAATCTTTTTTTTTCCAGTTTCACCCAGAAGGGCGTGGATTTTTCTGACCTCCTAAGAATAAACAGACTCTTAACTTCTCAGCATGTTATAAATATAACCAGGACCCCGAAAGCTTAAAAGTAGCCGCAGGCGGCAGATGGATCTTGACTTCATACAACCGCATTGTAAATTGTGACGATTTTCAGTCGGATTGTCCGGAAGGTTGTCACCTGACGGCTGCAAGGCAAAGGAGACAGTGAATCGGAATTATTCCAGCTTAGAGTTACGGAGGTTACCTTGATATTGTTGATGTAAACAAACACGCAAAAGCAAAGACACCTGCACTCCGCCCACAAAAACAACATACGTTCTTTCCACGCGACGACATAAATACTCTCAGTTCAATCAATCAGAACCTGCGAACCAAGTCAATCATGCCTCAAGTGTCCACTGCACCCCCTGAGGTCAAACTCGATAACCGTTTCTTGGTGAAATGCAACGGCAGTCAAATCTCAATCCTTGGAATCAACTATGAACAAAATGCAAAATTGTACCTCCCACTACTAGAGCCTGCCCGCGGAGTAAGAAAATTAAATTCTAAAGCGACAACCAGTCATTCAAGCAAAATCAGACGAATGGTGGAAAGCACAATGCATCTTTCGTGGACTCGATTTCTCTGGCAGTGATACCAAAGCCTTCCAAGCACGACTACGAGCCGCTCCAAATACTGAAATGACCGCCGATATTCGAGCCTTGGAGACGAAAACGGTGAGGAATTTCTGGGAGCGGAAGCAAAAGGCAGCAGTAGAAGCAGAAAAGGAGAGAGTAAGAACTTTCAATGCACAATGGCTTGTCATGTCACATGAAGAGAAGGCCAAAATCAATGGTGGACGAATGATATCAGAAAGCTTTCCGTCAAGCGAGAAGAAGTCGAAGCCAATCATATTCCGATTCAAAACTTATCACACGGAAGTTGCAGGACTGGCTCTGGAGGCTGATCTCGCATATAAGTGCGAGAAGTTTCCAGAAGGTCATCCCGAGAAAAGAGAGACATATGATTCTATTGGGTTGAAAGGGTATTGGGTACTGAAGGTCATGGAGAATTGATTGCATTGTAAAAGGTAGCTATCTAAGGTGTTTATATAAAGAGTGTAAGGTTTAGGCAGACATGAAGCATTTAGGCAGCAGAACTATAAGTGGATCAAATAAGGAAGTGGAGCACAAGAGAAAGTAGACCCAGCACAACAGATTCCATTGCCATTATCGCTCGTTCAACATCAGACATTAATAAAAGCAAAGAATGGCTGGCAGTAAAGAAGTCGTTTCAAAGAGCTCAAGCCGAACGTCTAAGGAAGTTGGCTGGAAATGGCAAAGAGTGGGATGTTACTGGCAAATATCGGATTTGCTGCCCAACAATCGAATCCTCATGGAATGTTGACACCAGTAGTTTCACTTTAGAGATTTTCGCCGTCAAGAACCAACTCTGCGCGAAGTTTGACTTTGATACAATTGCTGGCGTCTTTAGATTCGAGAAGCAACCAGAGAAGGGTATAAAGGGGAAATCAGCAAGCAGCAAGCCACAGGTCGGCAACATGTCGAGAAAGAGGATGTATGATAGTGATAGGGATGAAGATGGATATGGCGGCATGGAGGAACGATATGGAGATAGTGATTACGACAAGGAGCGTGATAATGAAGAGGTACAAGATGGATACGAAGATGAATTCCAGCTTGGAGCAATCTCACAGCCCTCGGAGAAATACCGCAATTGGACTTTTCGCTGGCGTGGCGAAGAAAGTGGTAACGGCGAAATTTCTTGGGAGCCAATCCAGGTCGGAACGGACTCCCGGTCGTACAAGTCCAAGTTCTGTGAACCGAGAGGAACCAAGATTGAGGGGACAATCGGAGGTGGCTTTTTGGGCGATGAATGTACTTTCACTGGCGAGAAGATTAGTGCTGGTACAGGTGGCAAGATTAATCCTTCTTTTGAGTGGTTCAAGCGTAGCAAATGGCCTCGTGAAAATACTAGAGGCAGGAGAGGGAGATGGTAATGTGATGTGTTTGGCTGGTTTTCTTTCCCGCTTCTGGAACGCTGGACAATGTAAACAGGGTATTTTAGTGCGAAAATGAGGTAGTCAATGAACCTTTTCTGATACCAGATCCATGCAACACGGAGAAATAGTTGTTCATCGTTCCCCGGCACTGCTCATTATTCTAGTAGCTCCATCCTGATATATTTGAAGCTATTCAATGGGAAGATTTGATATGGCACAAGAAACAGTGTTCCCAATTTTGCTAGGCTTTTCAGAAATATTTTCATACTTATCTTATATATCTCACTGATTTGGAATCCTGAATGGAACAGACCAACGACTTCACGTGTATCTACAGTGTTGCTTGATATACTAAGAACATTGAGCCCCTGCAAAAGTAACAATGCACAAAGCATTGAGAGATCGATCTTCTGCCAGTAGTAGACTACAGTCATGGTCACTAACTCACAGTAATAGGGTTGTTAAATCTAATTTTAGATAATTTATAAATAATTTATTTCCCTATAATTTATAATAATTAAAGATTTTGGCTCTAATATTAGATCTTGGCAATGAATATATAGTATATATAGAGGGTGAATATAGAGCAAATAAAGGTATAGAAGTAGGCTAATTTCACTAAAAAAAAACTACGAAAACGTATGTAAAATAGTACTTAATTCAAAGAATTATCTGTGAAGCTAATCTTGGTCGTCTATATCATGCTCGCTCGAGTCTTCAAGCTTAGTATTACTATCGTCGTCGTCGTCGTTATCGTCTTCTTCCTCTAATTATATAAGCGCTCTTTTATGCTTAACAAGTCTTTCTTTAGGGACTTCAGGCTATTAGGATCTTCCACTCCGAGATTACGTAAATGTCACGTGACGCATGTAATTACAAAATAATTTATTTTCAGATAATTGCCTAATTTACTAATTAGAAATAATTTATATAAATTAGAAATAATTTAACAACCCTACACAGTAAACATTTTTGGTACAAGATAATCCCCATGAAAGGGGAGGCCGCCACAGTAACCATTCATAATAGATTTGTTGATAGCTGTCGCTGGAAAATAGACGGCATTTGTTCGCCGTAGGTCGAAACCATTTAAAGGGTTATCTGCATAATCTGTTCGGTGAAAACGATTGGGGCTTCGTCAGTCAATATCCGTTCTCTTTGAAAACAAGATAAATGACGATTTCTACCCGCTGCGCATTTGTTTTGATGTGCTTCGCTTCTTCGCTTAATTCTAGAAAGCTCTTGGCACCAGCGACCAAACCAACATACTCGTACTGTGGTTTATACCCTCGCACAAGACGAATCTCTTATCAGCTCCTCCTTATGTCATTCCGAAATAAACCTTGCTCATCGACATCTATTGCTCAGCTATGATCCTTGGCAACTTCAAGATCCAATCAATACTGTTGATTGGGGAGCTGTGCCGCATATTCTTCATACATATTCACTGCAGTTGGTCAAATCGATAGTCTTGTTGGTAAAACTGACTGCATCCACGATAGAGCACGGCACAGAAGGAGGGAAATGCATGATAACGAATCCCGTTCTGCATATCCAGCCGCGAATTTTCCATTCGTCTAGAAATGGTACAGGTTGGGTCGTTGCCCTCCTTTTCCCTTATCCAGGAACATGGTGGATACAAAGCGATTAAGCGAGCCCTCTCAATTGTTTTATTCTGTGCTTTGCACAAACTTCCTAAAACCAACATTTACATCATATTTGTAATAGAGCATCAGCTTTTTGGTCTCATGATTCATGAGCGATTGATGGCAGGAGGCAAGTTATTCTGTTTCAAACACATTCTCCCCAACTAATCTACCTAGTTAGTTCCAGATGTCCACATTACACATTAAAGAAGACACCCCCGTCGATACACCAATTGGTTTACCCATTCAGTGGCAAAATCTTTTTTTCGGAGTTGTATCTCTGCTTATGCCTAATCCCATCCAGCTTTCGTCTTCACTAAGGTTTGGTCAACGTGAAGATTTTGCGATCAACACAGTGAAACCCTTAAGTAAACACGCTCTTCCCATCATCAATACTTTTTCATAGCTCTGGAAAGCCATCTGAACTTCTATCTTTAAGGCGTTCCGTTCCGTCCATCCGACTTCTGGAAGTTAAGCCGATGTCACCCACGGACTTTTTGGCCACAAATTTACTCGTGAATCTAAACATATGGAAGTTCCTTGCAACATTACTACAGTACTGTATTGTCCACCTTGCGTTGTTTCGGGAAAACGTGTATTTTCAGATGAAGAGCGGGAGTGTTTTATTAAGACCCTCGAACCTCTGAGAGCCGCCATTTAGCGAAAACTTCCAATCAAAAGACTGCGTTCTAAATGAACTGACCTTTGTTCTATTTGCGCTCAGTTTGAATAAATGCTCCATCTAAACTTTTTCCGGAAAGCACAAAAGGTGGACGCTACAGTTCAACATCTAAGTTTATGACCGATTTCCTTTTACTCGAAACATTCACTCCATGGAACTGCCTTTGGGCTATGAACCTGTGCTGGTAAGAATACAGTAGAAGGATGTTACAGTATAAGTTTTATGCCATGCCAACAATAAAGCGTAGGTGATAGCAAGCCATACCTACGAGACTGACTATCAACGAATCATGCATATAAGTTATAAAGAGGGTGGACAGTTGAAACTGGACACTGTCCTTGACTATATTACGGCTTGGCACCGATATTCAGCTAAACCAGCGAATCAGAGACTCGGATCTGGGCGATATAGACTTCTCCCACATATAACCTGAGTGACAGTGTTCAGCTTCAACTGCTCACCCTCCTTACTTCCACCCTGGTTTAGAATTCTATTCCTTGTTTCTGCTGCCGCAAGAAAAATAGTCTTTTGTCTGAGGGAAAGAGTACCGAATGGCGAAGGAATTACACTTCTACCTCGGAGCCCTTCTCTTCACAGATCGAGATTGACCATTGGAGTTAATGAATGACCGTACACCTGAGTTATTCGAGCCGAATTGAAAGAATGTCGTCAATCCAAACAAGGAAGGAACGACCTTGACACGTGGACACTTGGACCATGATCACGATCCGACCTGAAGAAGCGACACAGTTCAGCTAGAGAACAGCCGCAAGACGTCCGGACTTTGGTCTCCCCAACCTTGTCCCCTCTGGATCCCCTGCCCATCTCCATATCCATCCCCACGAAGTTACGAACATGCAGGTGCCGGTGCCGACAACAAAAGAAGGTATAACATCGGAGGATTTCCCCCACAACACACCGAGCGCCTGCAACATCCGCCAGTTCAGCATATTTGACAACAATAATCGACAAAAAGATCCGAGCTTTAATATTGCAGCAATATCTCCTCAAAAAGAGGATCATAAACGTAAGATGACGAATCCTAAAAAAGTATCGTGCCCACGCTTAGCTTGGACCCAGAGGAATAGTTGATACCAGTATACTATCGGGTGCCTTGTTACGTAGAGAAGCCGCTGCGATCAATGGGAGATGGTACTAGTAAAACTAGATCATGTAAAAGGTACGAGATTTCCATCGTTATGGACGAGCTTGATCAATTTATTTGGAAGGGGTATGATATAACAGCATATCACCTATATGAGTAACCAACTGCCTTACTCATATAGGAGTAAGCGACAAGAATTAAAGAATTTTACGTCTAATACCAAAATTATGTAAGTATTACTAGGTACTATACTATTTATTCCTAACACTTGGATATGCGACCTTGTCGTCTCCTATACCAAGGGTTCGCTACAGTATAAGGATATCCTCCTTCATATCCTTAGAGAACCCCTGTCCGAGAACCTCCTAATGACGAGTTCCGCCTGTAATCAAAAACCTTCAATAGGCGATCAAATTTGACAATCGATGGCGAGAATCGTGGGAAGAAAGTTTTTGTAAACCTACTTATTCTCAAGGGTTACCCTCTTACAATTTATGTTCTAACAAGAAGAGTACATATACACAAGTGAAACCCCTCATCTCTCCGTTTAAACTCCACAGACCCTCCACATCCATCGTCTACTCTCAATCAACCACATCTAAGCTGTATATTCGCCAACATGCGCTTTACAACAGTAAAACTCGTACTCGCCACCATTGCCACGCAGCACGCTATTTAGCATTGTACATGCAAAAGCCAGATGTACTTCGGCCGCGGATTGTGTTATCTGTGGTGGAAATAACGCCGTTTGCCAGTGAGTATATAAAAAAAGAATATATGCTGTCATAACGGCTGCTAATATAATATGTTTTGTAGTGAAGGCAATACATAATACTTGGTACTTGGTACTAGCCTGTAGGTAGGACTTGCTCTATTGGTCAGCCAGATATAGCAAGATTGTTGATTATATATTAATGTGTCTATAGCGATACAAAAAGGCAGAGGAACCGTATTATTTACTTGTACCTGAATAGAATAGATGGACTTGTCTTTTGCCTTCTGCGGTACATGCTCGTGTTGATGTCACCTTCAAATTTTCCTTCTTCGCAACTTCCTGCAACTCGGCCTCACAATTATAGCATTGCAAACCTAACTTTTGAAGTGCGCCATTCCCGAGCTTTCACTGCCGATGGCGAGCTGCGGAGAATATTTGGCCTCTACCTCTGGCACCAAAACGGGGCCCATTACCTAAAAACCCGGCGTTCCAAACGCGGGCTCTTCGGGTCCTGAAAAAACGTCGGAATTTACCCCTGTAAAAAAGAGCTCTCTTTCAGCAATTATACAGCGCTATATAATAATAAGGCAAGGAAAATACTTAAGAACTACTATAATAATAGTTTACTTAATTCTGAGTTAGCTAATAAATTTTATATGCTTTTATAATTTAGGTAGCATTTGTAATCAGTCTTCAAGTAAAGGGTGCAAGGTATAAAATCCGACGTTTTTTCAGGACCCGAAGAGCGCGGGGTACCTTGACCCCCTAAAACAAAACACCAGAAAAACGCCGGAAAATATACTTCCAATTATTGTAAGAGGTCCTACCTAGTTATACAGTACAGTAGTGCCTGAGAAAATCCGAAAGTTTCAATAAACAAGGAAGTGGACGGGCTGGGGTTAGACTGTGAGAGGCAAGGTATTTGGTAAGAGGGAGGTAAGAGTTACCCGATAAAGTACTGTATGTAAAAGAACGCTGGACAAACCTGCCGAAGCTGCATTTGCAATGTAAAAGTGCAATTCGTCGAACGAGACGGGGCTGGAAGGGGGAAGAGGGAAGGTTACTTTGGTTGGGTTGACGTGGTTGGAACTAGATTAGGTTGGAAATAGATTGGAGCGGTAAGATTACAGAATTCGGAAGGTTGTACAACAGGCTTCTGCGAGGAATGCGGCGTATGCTGACTCATTTTCAGGATGTTCAAGCATGTAGATAGAGCAAGTCAACGGCGCAGTTATGTTTGCAGAGTGAGTTTCAATATCATTCAAAACGAGAGCATAGCATCACATGTGCAGATGGATAGTCTTGATCAATGTTTGAACGTAACAGTCGTTGGGCATATTTACAAAGTACTATAGCTTAAACCCCGGGGAACCATTATGTCCCATCCCTAATCTCCAACCATCACAATAAATAATTAATGTATCGCCAAAATTTTTATACAGCCTAACCGCGCAGAAAGCAAAACATGAATTAAATCTAGAACATCTTATTATAGAGTCTCTTCCACGCTGGCCATGAAGCTTGCTCAGCGCGCTCGGCAGCCATCTCCTCGTTGAATGCAACCATATCGTAATCACGACGGCCCTCGTCGATTTGAATGAGTGATAGATCGACGCCAATAGACCATTGCTTGTAGAAGCACTTGTAGCCGATGAAGAAAGCGATAACGATTGGCGCAGCGAGATAGTTCTCAAAGAAAGCCTTAGCGTCTGGCTGTCCTCCGATAGGGAAGAGAGAGACGTAGAATTGGGCGATGAGACATAGAATGTTGAGACCGAGACCGATCCATGAGCCAGTGGTACCAAACATGGCAGCGAATGGAAGGTCGTCGACTGTACGACCATTCATGGCCCAGGCCTTACGGAATCGAATGTGGGCGAAACAGATGGAACCCCAGGTGAAGAAGTTGGAGAGACCGGAAATGGAGAGCAACCAAGTGAAGATTTCGCTTCCTTGTGGAGCAACATTAACATATGCCAAAGCTCCGAAGGTAAGGGCAACGATAAGAATGACCCAGGGACGACCCTTTTTGTCAACCTTAGCACCCCATTTTGGCCCCATACCAGCGGCGCAAAGTGCTTGAACAGTTCTCGTTGAGGCAAAAGTGCAAGAATTGGCGACCGAGATAACACTCAAAGTAATCACTGCATTGAAAATAGATGGGAGAACCTTGATTCCAGCGAGCTTGAAAGACAAAACGAATGGAGAGTAACGAGTGTGTCCTCCAGATGCCTTGGAGAGTGTTGGGTCATCAGATGGGACGATAAGACCGAGGATGAAGAGTGAGATAACGTAAAACAGAGTGATTCTCCAGAACACTTGCTTCGTGGCCTTTGGAATGGTCTTTCTGGGGTTGGCGCATTCAGCGGCTGCGAGGCCAACAAGTTCGGTTCCGCCAAAGGCGAATGATGCAGTGACGAACACGGAACAGAAACCCTTGAAACCGTTGCGGAATGCTCCAGGATTGTGCCAGTATTTCGCTCCAATATATCCACGAGTGTCGGTTGGAACACCACCACAATCGATAATTATACCCAGAATAATGAATCCAATGATGGCAATAACCTTGATAAGACCAAGAACGAATTCAACCTCTCCGTATCCCTTAACACCAAAAAAATTGATAGCAGTGACCATAACCAAGAAGATGGTGATCCAGACGGCAACGTTGATGGAAGGAGTTCCAGTATCATCTGGATCTGTCCAAAATGCGATTGTGATACCAGCAGTAGTCAATTCGAAAGGCAGGACGATCAACCAATTAAGTGCGTAATTCCACCCCATAGCGAATCCCCAAGCAGGGTCGATGAATCGAATGGAGTAGTTGTAGAAAGAACCAGCGACAGGGTAGAGAGCAGCGAGTTCTCCCATAGCATTTACAGTAAGCAACAACCTGTGATCATGTGTTAGTGTAATACGGGTAAGTTAGGAAAGAAGTAACCTTACATGAAACCGATAATGATAAAATCAATAACCAGAGCACCGGGTCCACCAGACGATAGAGCACCACCAGAACCGACGAACAGACCAGCTCCAATAGAACCACCGATTGCAATCATTTGCATGTGTCTACCTTTGAGAGCTCTGTGTAGTTTGTCGGTCTCCCCCATCTCGACATCGCCTGGGGTAGGCGATGGCGTCGTAGATGGGGCATATTTGTCCTGAGTCTTTTCCTCCATTTTGAGCCAGCACTATTTCCTACAAACAAATATATAATTGTATGAAATGAAAGGTTGACTCTACACGGAGAGGGGAAGTGGATGAATAGGATACCAAGAGTCAGAGAATTAGACTTGGGAATGTGCACGACTTAAGTAGAAGATCGCAGGACGGGAACTACCCACTACCCACGCAGCAGACATGTTTCCCCTGCCATCCACTCGAGTACAGGACAGGGACACAGAATCTTGGTCTAACTGTTTATGGAAAACCGTAGATACGCATTTTGGCCGGGTTGTTGGATGAACGATAGAGAAATTGAAGCTCGGTAAACTTGCAAGGAGCTTCAAGACTGAACGCTGACTGGCTCGGCGGCGTCACCGAGGGATAAAAATTCGAGCTAAAGACGAAATATACTGGGATCGCCCAGACATAACAAGCATCACACAAGAGGCGAAGCTTCCTGGGCCGCTGGGGATACTGGCACCTTGGCCCTCGGGGGCGCTTTGGGAAAGAGACGGGGATATAGAGGCTAGTAAGTTCCCCGCTAGAAACATGCATTGCAGGTGCATGTCTCATCCCATTGCCTCCCGTCGATCCACAGATAAGAGCCGCCAAGAGCCGCTGGTGGAAGGGATGCAGCGAATGACAGGAGCCCGTCAAAAACCGTTCAATTGTAGAAACCAATCATGCTGCTTTGGGCTGTCAATATTTCTACACCTACGTAAAACGGGGCATCCGCCACCCAAACAGTTTGAGCTGGGTCGGCTGTTGGAGTTTTAGCGAGAGAAGACTTGTTGAGCGGCTTTCTCGAAAACACTCGTTTTGATTCAACACTGGTGGGGAGGCAAACAGGGCTGTGGCGTGATAAGCTTGAGTTCAATCGAGGTCTTTCTCGTGGCTCGAGTCCTCTTCTCTCCAATCCTCACTGTACCCTCCTCCCGCCCCGCCAAATCCTCAAATTTCCCCGTGATGACTAGAACCTTCTTGGCAAAAGCAGAAGTGTTCTGGAAGAGCAATTGAAGTCCGCTCGCCTGGAACGGACCATCTCCGCTGGGGTTCACCAGGGTTTATGCCTTGGAAACAGATACTGAGATACTTCTACGATAGTAAGCCAGAACGGTAAACTGTTACTGGTCAGCCTCGCGTAGTTTTACTGTTTTAGCAGTATAAAATTACGCATTCCAAAACATTTCATTTCGCATGCTCATGTGATTTTGGCGGGGAATAGATCGTGAAAAATAGACTCCGAGCTGATTTTGGGACCCTAGAGGAGATTCCAGTGCGAATAATGTGGGACCTCAAAGATACGCGATACAGCCGGAAGATATGGTGAATACAATTCCATGGTCACCAGAATTCTGCTGAGCTTCGAGTTCTCGTAGACTTAGTAAATGTTTTCAGCGGGCGGGTTCCGGGTTTGACTTACTCTAACGTGGTACATGTGTATGTGTTATGTTAGCCAATCCTGCCCTGCTTATCGTTCGTCCTCTTTTACGGAGCACCAGTTGGGGATTCTTCCAGGAAGGAACCGACCAACTGGATGCTGTGGGCTCCCCGATGCAATGGTGCCCTAGCTCTACCAGCCAAACCTTCTTTCGGATGAGGCCTACTCTGTTCCCCATATATATCAAGTGTGATGGTCGCGTGCAGAAACATGATCAGGCTCCTCCACTCAGTTGAGGTAGGTAAACAGGCTACAAGAACATGCGTCTTTCAGTTCCTTTGGCTCTAGCTGTAATTTTGCGCCATCTTGGCCGACGTTGAGGCCAGTGAGGCGGAGTTGAGATCTCCCCTCCCGCTCTTGATATCCTTGATATCCTTGGTGTCCGACAGTCCTTGGTGTTCTTGGTGGCGAGCTTGATGCAATGACAAGCAGGGCGGCCTCTCACGGCCATCCCTTTACGCCTCATGGTTGCGCCCGCTGAGACAGAGAAGAATGCATGTAGTCTTCCAGAAGGATGCCTTTCCTATCACTTCCCTCAGTAATTGCTGGGAACCCCAGCTCAGGAATTGCTTTTCTTATCCGCCGCTCTAAGCGGGCTACACGTGGAAGATCTCTCTCGGCGAAATTTTGCTTGTTCGAATAATGCCAGTTCAAAATATCTTGGATAGCCATGATTGCATTGAAACTGCTTTTTCTGTAATTCTGGAGCGTGTCGGTTCGCCGCGCCTTGAGAGCTTGAGATTTGCTTTCACTATCCAAAAATTGACTCCTGATTTTCGCCTTATGAAAACTCTTCAAATAAGTCTGGCACAAACTTTTTATCAGCACCAATTACATGCTTTCATTGGTTGGAGAAGGCTTATTGGTAGAGATTACCTGTTGGCCGGGGGGTTTGGCCTTTCGGTGTCCGTTTTGGACATCCAACTTTGTATTGCATGAAATTGGGCCGAGGGTACGAGTACGTGCGGTTGTTTGTGAAGTTCAAAGAGGATGATAGATCATCACGGTGATGAGGTGATGGTTATATATTTCAGGACTAGAGAATTTGTTGTCGTGCTGGAGTACTGTACTTATGAAGGGCGTGAATGTCAAAAAGTGAGGACCGTGGCTGACGAGGGTCACGTTTCTACTACTGTATCGCATGTTGCGCTGTTGTAAACATTCGGCGACGTCATAAGGTCTAGACCGTGCTAACAAGGATTTGTCATATCGAAGAATATAGTAGTGTATTGTGACACACAAGGTATATTAAGAAGCATTTGAACCAAGTGATCCGAGAAGTACACAATTCCGTCAAAGAGAAGCCCGCTTGGGGATTAATCGCGTCGATATCCGCGCCAAGATAGAAGGTACAGAAGATTTTCAACTTACGTCATATGTTTATTCTTAGGACACTATGAATAGGAAAAGCATCTTGAGAGAACACCGCACGCCGTCCTGAAGGCTTCTATAAAAGCTAGTTATAGATTTATGCAATTTAAAAAGTGAGACCTGCAAATCTGCTGCGCGCCAATAGGCCGATTTTGTCACCGACTATCAAGGCTTGTTTACCAGTTCTAAGAGGTAGACTAAAGCCATGCGAAAGCCGTGTTAGAGGTGGAAAGTTGACTTGTAGAACCAGGAGGGGACTTTACAAATTATTACTAACTACGCTCAGATCGTAAATTCAAGTTATCCCGCAAGTTAGTACTTGAGGGAGTCTAGTTTTAAGGCTATTTAGACTTCCCATACTCGGCCCACTCACCTTCGCTAGTTGAATCTTTGGAATCATACAAGTTAGCATAGACCTAGCTTAGACAAACTGATAACCTATTCTACGATAGTCTATAACTAAAATCGCGTAATTAATCTCTTAGGAGGACAACCTTCCCAAACTTTCGCGAAACAAGACACGGGATTTTCTTCTCGTTTTGGCTTCTAGCTGTGCAAATATTCAACCAACTGAGAAAATGATAGGATAATGTTAAGAATTCAAAGACTAGCAATTCTCTTTAATAGACATCGGACCCTTACACCCAAACAGTATAAGAATAACGCACCATTCGCAGCACAAACAAGCGTCAATTGAATTTGGCTTACCAGTGAGTTCATCGCAGCGTTCCTTTTTGCGAGAAAGATAATTAGATGTTAAAAATTTGGTTATTTCTGACTAAAACACTTTTATGACATGTACTCATGTGGCATCTCTGTCAAAAACGAATCGAACTTTTGCCAGCAAGGCAGACAGGTAGCATATTTGTCAGCTGAAATCTGCCCCATATGAAATATACAACTTAGGTGAATTGGCCTAAATGGACACACTAGTAGACACCCCTTCTCTTATGTATCTCACTTAGACTGTCACGCACTCTCTGGTTAAAATGCTTTTAATTACTCCCCACAAGTCACTATTCCCAATACTGACTTGCGGACTGAATGGTAGGTTCCTAGATTATATGCATTCTGATTTCGCTGAAAGAAGCTCTGTCGTCTGTTCTAGATATTGCTCACAGTCAAAGAATAGTTTCTACTCCAGTGCTAATTACAAAAAACACCAAGAAATATGTCAGTGGGCTTAATTTATCGTAGTTTCGGCGTATTTTCGTCGTGAAGTGAGGAGTACACTTCAGGACTGTGTTGGGTAAAGTGCCATATAGGTTTGGCAGCATTGCCACGTTTTCCTCTGCCGACAGAAATCTAATTGTCAGTTGTCATCAGACTGGCACTGAAGAATTACTGAAGTAATGAACGGCATTAGAAGGGCATTTCTGCGGTCAAAAATTTGGTGAAATGGCGTTTAGCCAGGAATCGCTATTTGAGTGGCATTGTTGTCCCGTCTATTACCAGTACGTAACCAAACCTTGGGTAATTTGGAGCAAGTCAGCCTAGTCAGGAAAACCCGTTCCCAGTAAGCTTACTTCATGAAAAACAGGAATCAGTGGATAGAAAATTAGCAGTAAATAACACATCATAGTTAAATATATCTCCTATGTTAATAATTCGGACAAGGAATATCTGCAAGCAGATGTGCTGCTGTTAACGTTGAACAGAAACTAATGTCTCAAGCGTTCTTTACAGATTGTATAATAAGTATGCGACTTCTTCTTGCGACTGCCAACAAGGGTGCCTATAGGGCTAACAGAAATTAACGGAGTAATTTATATAGACTGGTTGCCTTAGAGGACGCAAGCCCGGAACCTGTGTTTAGTCCTGTAATAGGGGCTTCCGGCGGAAAGTGGCATTCAAGTTAGCCCATATCCACAGAAGAACATGATAGTGTGAGTAGGACCGTCCGCTAGCCCCTACCAAAAGCTCGCCTAAATCTGAGTTTGGTGACTGCATTAAGCGACTGCATTAAGCGAGAGTGATTGGTGGCATTTTTAGGAGGCTTTATTACCCAAGATCGTATCATCCAAGGAGTACTTGGGAAGATAGTAAACAGGGTAAAGGTAAGCCAAATAGCAATAAATGTTTGAGCCTACTAGTATTGGATTTTGATTCTAAAAGTAGATAAACTTCGCTTAAAGGATACATTAACAGCTATGCTATTACTTGACAACTAGATCATCCCTCTTCTACCTATTGCTAGAATGCCACCTTTCTATGACGGATATACGGCAGTCCCACTCTTTCTAGCCGCCACCTAAAGAACGATAATACGAAAACCTGTGTTATATGCCCTCGGACTCGATAAGTGGCATGAAAGTGGTGTTCCAATTCCATAACGATGAAATAGTTAGCACATTAGTCGGAAAAGTTGGTGTATTGTTTATCCCAGAGTGCTGATCGGTTTTTATAATCATCCCAAAGGTCAAAGCTGTCCTCCACTTCGCCTTGTCCGCCTTCACCGTCGTCCCTGGCTCGCTATCGCATGTTAAGTAATTTGCTATTGTATATTTTTTATATACACGGTGATGGGTCACTGTTCTTGCTATTGGGACGAAATCCCACTGTCTTGACTATCTGCTAAGTAGGCGAAATGCCCGGAAGACTAGGGGCTGCTATGTTCTCGCTTGTAGAAGTCGAGGGTAGGGTCGCATCACCTTTCCACACCGCAACGACGGTTATAGAGTTAGGTCGGGCTTCGCCACTCTGGCAAACTTGGATAGTTTACAAACTTGCAAGGCTATTCAATTCTTTTGCTATGTTGTGGTCACAACATCTAGTCTTGATGCGACACTTGCTTTCGCTGAGTACAAGCGAGAGCGTACTGGAAGACAAATTGACCGTTAAGCGATGTCTACTTTAGAGAAGGCTACCTCTTAGAGATCTCAAATTACAATCGCAACATGGCCTCGTAATTTCTTGTCCATTATTTGAATTCGTTTAATTCCATCTAGTCTCGTGGGAGGAGTGATTGGAAGAAGGGATGTCTAATCCTGTTAGGAAAACGTACGCAGGTTGTTTGTTTGCTGCATGATACTCCTGCTGCAGCACTTCCTGGGAAAGGCAATTTGTTGCTTTCACACAGGAGTGCTGACACTGCCATGGCATGAACAAGAGCGATGAGAATGGTATTTGAGAGCTGCATGATGAAGAGTTATGTTCGTTACGTAAACGTATTTGAGGTATTGAGGAGATGTGTAGAGAATATTTGGAGAGCGAAGGGGTGGCATTTGGTCTTATAGTAATTGAAGATGAGGCACGCGAGTTTACAAGCACCTTTGGTTCTATTATTACCCAGTTTCGTGAAAGTGACCCCAACTCAAAATCAAAGACCCTGGTAGCCCCCTATTCTTGGCGCCACTATGACGAGTAACATCTCGAGCTTGTTCTCAAAGCCCCGCCCGGCTTCTAAATCGCAAACTGTTAGGTCTCTTTTGGGGCTTGTACACGTAGGGTAAAGACTTGGAAGCCGTGCGATTGAAGGTGAGAGCGTCGCCTCGCCACTCTGATATTACTCCCATTCATGCCCCCACTACTCCGTACAGATATGGACCAAAGGAGTAAAGTCCCTGAGGTTATTTCTATAGTAAGTAATATTAAGGCCACAATTTACTGAATTTGTTAGAAAGTACAGAGTTTCCTTCCTCTGAAGCCCAACATTTCCCTGGCAATACTGGTTAGGCACTTCGATACTAAGGTGAGATATTTCAAAGGGGCAACCAAAAGTGCCAATGCGTCACCTACTCGTCTAATGATGGTAATAAATGGATGAATTTGACTCCAATTGCCCGTAATTAGTGTAGTCTTGCAGTTGAAATAACCAACTGGCCAATAGCATCTCCGGAAAAAGCAATATCAGTATGAAGTTATGTTGCAAATAGCTTGATGAAATTAACCAGACGTGTTTCTTAGTCCTGGGGGCATGAATTGGCTGTAGGCGGACTGAGAAGCCATCCAATCACAATTTGCCATAATTCTGTCTGGAGTCAAGGTTAGACGATACCGCTTTCGACCTCACAATGTAGCACTTTCTAATCCCAGTTTCACGGTTCACAAGACCTATCTATTGCGGCTCTCTTAGCGTGTGCATCCTATTGCAGGAAATTATAGGGCGCGTATTAAACCATATGGTACCCAAAATATCCACTGATCACCTACTTGGCGAGTGCACGTTCAAATATCATATTTAAGGTTGGAGGGGATATTGATACCAATCCTCTTGGGTTGCCAAATCATGGACGGACATAACTCCGGATTTTTTTCTGAGTCTTTGAACTAGTATAACCTATGTTCAAATGTTGCTTTTCACTTTTTCTCATTCAAGACATTATACTAACCCTAGCCAGATGGCTAGGTTGCTTACGAAGCTACAGCAGAAACCCCCAAGTGAGACTTCAGCAGTTTGACATAGCGTCACAGTAAGACTTGATTGCCATCATCCCAAAGAAATGATTGCATTCCAAATCCTTTGCTTGAAATGCGTGTTACAACGAAGAATAATTGAACGTACAAGAGAACTTCGCCAAAGTAGTTGCAATGGCAACGTTAGCCTCTCTCGAGCCTCTGTGTAAACTAAGTAGAATGCGCACCTACCACCCAGCCCTTGTTAGGAAGCTGTTCCCTGTCAACTACTATAGGTTCCCACAACGTCACCCGCCGCCCAGAAGTAATTATCATATACGTATATATGTAAATTTACGTATCCGCAATCCCGAAATCCTCGAAGCTAAATAGAAGTACTTTCCTGCTGGGTACTGGCTGTCAGTTAGTCAGTCCGTAACCTGAAGCCCAAGACTTTTCCCGTGAGTACCAACCAACAAGCAAACGTAATCAACAAGCTACGAGGTTATTTCCAACTGGCCCAACATACGAGTACGCTTCTATACTTAAGTATTTGCTGAAAATGAAGCTTTATTACAGTACAAAAGCACAGCCATAGAGATGGAGTCTCAACTCATCTCACCATCCGGAATCATCTCGCCTGTTCTCTGGACCCTGGGGAGGGTATGGATTCTCAACATCGCCGTAAAAGCTTGGAAGGCACGTCGTATATTCGTTGACTTGCAAAAGCAAGGGCTGGTCTGCTCATGCTCCAACATGATCCGTTTCCGGAGCTAACGAAGACTAGCCCATGCCAAAATACAACCTCCTTTTTGGACATTTGCTCACTATGAAGACGTACATCGACAAACTACCCCCAGATGCGCATCCAGCGTACTCCTTTGGTCAAATCGCTAAGGATGGATTTCCTAACGGGGTATTTTATCTGGATATGTGGCCCTTCTTCATGCCTCTACTTGTTTGTACGTCTCTGTCTGCAGCCGTGGATGCAACTCAAAAAAACTGCGATAGCCCCCAAGAAACCCAAGTCCTTGGTTCGGTGGTTCCAGCCAATTGCTGGGGGACCAAATCTCTTTACAATGGAAGAAGAATTATGGAAATCATGGCGAGGTACTTTCAATCCTGGCTTCAGCCAAGCACATATTATAAAGCTAGTCCCGAAAATCGTAAATGAAGCCCTGGCGTACAGGAGGTTGTTATTCGAGTACGCTGAGCGTGCAGAAATCATCCTGCTAGATGAGGAGACATTGTGGTTCACTATGGATATGATAGGAGCGCTTGTACTGTATGTACAGCTTACCAACCCTCAAGAGCCGTGCTGATAACTCTCACAGCGAGAGCAACTTGGATTCGAAGAAGACCAAAACTCCCTTAGCAGTCTCTCTATTGGACCGAACTCGATGGCACCTGGGGGACGCTACCATAAACCCCTTTGTTCGGTATTACCCACCCCGCTTATTTGCACAATGGCGAAATTCCAAGCGAATGAACGCATATATTGGCCGAGAATTGGACTTGAGATATGAAGCTTACAAGACGAACCTGAAATTGGCAGACAATTGGGATAGCAAATCTGTCATTGGTCTAGTTCTAGAAGGTTATCTGAAGGAAAATGGAGGCACGAAGGAACTTCCTGCCACAACGACGAGACCTTTAAGTCATACGCTACTTATCAGATACGTACATTCTTATTTGCCGGTCATGACACCACAAGTAGTAGTATTTGCCACGCATTCTATCTCTTAAACAAGAATCCAGAAACCCTCAAGAAATTACGCGAGGAACACGACACCGTTCTCGGGAAAGATCCAACATCCGCGGCGAGTGTCATAACCAGCAACCCACAAACACTCAATCAATTGGTCTATACGCCCTCGGTGATCAAAGAAGCAATGCGATTGTTTCCGCATGCCTCGGGAGCCCGACAAGGTGTGGATGGAGTTGATATCACAGACGATGAAGGAAACAGATATCCAACAGGAAATACGATGGTTTGGATCATCCACCAAGGAATTCAACGGAACCCCAAATACTGGCCTAAGCCCGACGAATTTATTCCAGAACGCTGGATGACGGACCCTGGCGACCCTATGTATCCTACAAAATGGGCTTGGAGACCATTTGAATTCGGACCGAGGAATTGTGTCGGACAAGGCCTCGTAATGAGTGAGCTCAAAGTGATTCTAGCACTTACAGCAAGAGAGTTCGATGTTAAGGATTCATATGAGGAGTTTGACAGACTTCACCCCCGCAAAAGCATAGTTACGGTTGATGGAGAAAGAGCGTATCAATTTGAGTCTGGTGGAGCTCACCCAGCAGACCACATGCCTTGCAGAGTATTTCTCCGTAAGTAGGCATGCTGGCATCAGATTGGCTCAGGAAATCGTGCTACTTATTCCTCTGAACCCGTATTGAATTCATACCTTATGCCGAACCTCTCTAGTTCGAAATATTATCTCCCTGGTTTTTTTGTATAAAACCTTTTGGCTCATCCTTACTCATCAAAATTGGAAAGACTTGGGGTTCATGACAGAGGTAGAAAACCATTCTTCAAACCCAACAGGATTGAGGATTCCATCAGCCTCTCCACAAAGCCAGATCTCCGATGTTTATTGCAACGTCTCGTACACTTCATGTAAAAGGCCAATTACAGCGATCTTTACAAGGCAGCTTTGGCACATACAGAATGGAAAGTCGCGCCACTTTCACCTGCTCCTGGGAAAGAACAAACAACTTCTCAAGGTTCTTACAGAGAGAACCGGTCAAGTGGAAGAGTTGTTATTGAGGCCCAGTCTACGGCACTCCACCGGCATTGATCTCTCTTCCAGGGGAATCTATTCAGGATTTCAGAAGAGGGACTCAGTTGAGTTTGTGGAGGAAGACGTTGATCTGATGATATGAAAGTCTAAAGTTCGAAATAACGATATGTAACTATAATTCAGGAGAAATGATAGCTTTTTCCAGGCTCAGGAGATAAGACACTTGATTCCAGCTGCGTAGCAAGAATTCAAGATAATGACAACGAACTTTGAAATGCGATGAAACCATAGACTTGTCTGACACTGGCCAAACAAGGTACCTTATGAGCTTCCACAATAGCTTTCCCAGTAACCGCAAGTTAATTTGAGTCGCAATTCCAACATCTCTCCAAAACTTCTCGTAGCGACTTCCTCTTCTTACACCAACCCCAACCTCACAAAACAGTTGTAGAAGGGAATTCATAAAAATCCCCATCAATAAAGTAGAGATCCATTCCATTGACACAGATACGGTAACCACTCAACGCCATATACGATGCCTCCATCCTTGTATGGTATTACACATGATTCATCCCACTAACCTCTTCTCCTCAGCAGAAATTTTCTTCTCGTTCCCATTCATATCATACACCTCCCCAAACCACCATCATCGCATCGTATCGAAAATTCATTATACAGTCCACCGTCGTTCCATCAATTCCGAAGCCCTATCGTCATCTTTGAATCGGCGTCTATAGAGGAGGTAAGATGAATTCGCTCCATGAACTCGAGAAGAATGCGACTGCGACCTAGATTTCCAATAAATTAGCTTGGTTCTTGATCGCAATTGCTGCACGGTTGCCAACAAACACCCTAACGTCCGTAATCTATGTGGAAGGGTAGTGGCTACTCACTCCGAAAATTCCAACACTCTGCACAACACTTCGGTTGTCCTTTGATGTGATGGCGCTATAAGCAGCTCCAAAGTATCCTTGCTGGTGTCCACGACGTGGTCCCCCGGAGCGCGCGACACTGAATTGCTTTGGTGGCATATTGACGATTATGATCTGAGGTTCGAGGATTGGACTGAAGGCGATGCGTTTTTGGGACGTGGCTGTTGAGGTGGTGGTATGAGGCTGCCCAGTGTGATACGTTTTTTTGAAGGGAATGACGAGGATGTTCTTTGTTGGTGCCTCGTTTTTACGGTTTCGATATTGAGAGATAATCGCACGTGATTACCCCCCTTTTTTGTTATTATTATTATTATTATTATTATTATTATTCCTTTTAACGTGCTGTGTGAGTCTGAGACTATAGTAGCACGGCTGGGGGTTTCCCTCCAGCAGATAACTGAAACTGTACTAAATACCTGTGTGAGAAGGGAGTTTTGGTGAATACAGTTATTGGGTTGTTGGAAGCAGCGAGGCTTCTGGTTATGACAAAAGAAAGACAAAAAAGAAAGTGTGTTTTAGTACGCCCCCTGCGTTTCACGCCCTATACCACGTTCATTCTCGTCCTCGTCCTCGTTCTCATCCTCAGCTGCTCGTTGTGTGTGCCATAG